AATGTAAGTGCTCGGTTTCTCTTTATTTTTTTCAAGTGAAAATTTAGTGAATATAAATAAATAAATGTGTATATAATATAAAAATGTATAAAATATAATTTTCTAAACGTAAAGTGCATAAAAAGCAATAGTAAAGCAATTGAATGAAAAAAGTGTAGCGGTTTACGCGTGTGAAAAGTGTTGCTACATTTAAGTGTGTGTGCGTCAAAAAGAGAGCAAAGATTGGTGTCTATGCGTGTGTGTGCGGCATTTTATTGCGACGTTAAATTGTGTGCTGCTTTTTGCAAAGATATTCAATTGAAAGTTAAAGTTAAGTTAATTTACACTTTCCCAGCTTCTTGAAGGCATTGCTTAGACAATAGTTCGCAATTAGCATCCACATAAACTGCAATTCTTCGCGGCTGCTCCAGCCTAAAGGAGACCCCTAAGTAGCTGACGTCATAAAACTGCCAATGTCAGACCGCAAAACTGTGCGCTACCTGAAGTTCAGCTTATGCCATGCCTGCATGCATATAACATTTTATTAGCTGACATATTTATGCATATTATTAAAAATGTTTTTGCTTTTTTTCTATACATGAACAAAAGTGAAATTTAGCAAGCATCGTTTTTGGCATTTAGCATTTCGCAACAGGATCAACATAATCATTGCTATGGCAGGAAAGGGACGCGCGCCTCCGTGGCTCATTAATTTTTATTCGTGCGACGTGTGTATGCATGCGTGAGTGTGAGAAAGAGAGAGGGATAGTCTGTGTGTGTATGTGCATGGCTTTTGGTTGCAATAAAAACATATTTTATTAGTTGGCGCAAAAAGGATGCGTGTGTGTGTTAGTGTCCTGGGTCCGATCTCAACCACCATTTGAACTGAGCTGATGACTTGCTGTCAGCATAAATTCATTATTTATGGTGCAATCAATGCGACCGAGCGTATGTCAAACACATCAAAAATCAACAGCTCATCAGCGAGCCGAAGGCGACTGTCACACAACGCATAACGGAAGTTTGTTTATTTTATAGTTTTTGCCGCCCGTCGTCGGCGAGCGCGGTGCGAAAATTTGCAAAAATCCTGTGATGATGCGCCGCGGGTTGTCCGGCCGACAGTTATGGCTCATGTTTGACGTTTGCCTTGGCAAATTTGAATCTCTTTTATGGGACACCTTCAATTTGGTTGATCTGCGTCGCTCGATATACCCTAACGGCATTGAAATGTGCTAGGGTATTCTTGTTGATCTCTGTATGAAAGGCAGAGAGTCAGAGTGAGCCTTGTGGATGCTAATATGTGGATTGTAAGAGAGCAATAAATTACGTAGCTGTTGTTGCATTAGTGTGTCTGCCTGCTTAGCGGAAGTGTGAAGAAGAGAACCATAACTCCTTCGATCCAAGAGAGCGTGCAAGCGAGAAAACAAGTGAGTAGACATTTTTTATTCATTTACATGGGACAGTGGTCAACATAACACATGAAAAAACTAAAATATACAATTAACTTATATTTAACCTTATCAATTAATAAAAGTCTTCATTTTTTAAATATGTTGCAAAATTATAATTTGGCTATTTTATATATATTTAAAATAATTAAATAATATACTAATATAATATAGGAAAGAAAATAATAATTAACCTGATTTTAAATACATTCATTTAATATACASTTTTTAAATATACAACTCATATTAAAATATATTTGTATACTTCTTTGTAATTAATTCTTAGTCTTGTTATATATAGGGTATACAATATTCCATCATTTGATTGCCTGTCTATTTAGTTGCTTATTTTGATGGGTGTGGCATTTTCTATTACAAATTTCGAAATTAACGCTTAAATATTTGCCAAAAACTGCCATAATTCACTTTTGGCAACATGTTTGATTTCTCCAGTTGAGATGATGACTTTAATGCCTTTAAGGACTATTATCTGTGGCAACATGAGCTGCGCGAGCTGGGCGAACTAATTAAATGCTCAACTGATGGCTGCGTGTGTGCTCATTTAACGCTGCCAGAGCAAATGATGAATGGCCGAGTGCTTCCTATTTTTGGGCTTATCCATTTTCCACCCTGCAATTAATATGCTCTTAATCAGGAATGGGAAAAGTGGAAAAGCAACCCAACCTACTGAACAAATGTCTTCCATCATCTTTTCAGAGCAAACTCGCGTGATTTGTGCACCTCAAGAACAACTCGACTCCAGTACATAATGCGTCATTCGTCCTGGCTATATCAATATCCTGACTTGTGCGGTCACGCATCGTATTGCTCCAGTCATAATTTCATTGGGGGCTCTCTCTTTATTTGTTTCGTATTCCTTGTTAAATATTCATGCGAATCTGCGCGTTGTCAGCTTCGTTATTCCTTTAATGACATTTCAATAATTAATGTACTTTTCCCTCATTTTTTTCATTTCCGTTTTCCTGTGCGTGTCCTTTCTGCTGCTCTATATCTATATCTATATAGACAGACTTCTCGACTAGCACGTCAACATTCGTCGACATCATCAATCAAAATGGTATTTTTAAATGTTTCGCTTAGGAACTGCTTGTCGCGGCTTATAAATGATGCTGTTATATGGTTTTTCTTTTTTTTTTTTATGTTCTCTTGAGGGTTTTTGAGTGGTTTTTTGATTACTTTTTGGGCTGGTTTTTTAAATAGCAAATTTCCATCAATTTTAATAAGTCAAAATAAGTCAAGAATGCTAATGCTCTAATTGCATGCGCCCACTTTGGTGCAAATATGTCAATTGGTTATACTTAAATGTATAATATTTATTTACTTTGTTTATATTTATTATTATTTAAAAACATCATCTTAAATTCCTTTTATTATTTCCTCTTATTTATTTATTTTTTTTCTTATCTATTTTTTCCCTATAGAAAATATAATTTTATATATTATTATATTATTTGACCCTATCAAAGCTCGCTTATATCGAAACTCGCATTCTAATCGCATTTACTCTCAAATTATCTTAGTTTACTTCGATAATTTTACTTCATTTACTTCTACTTCGTACAGCTGTCGCAAAACCCACAACAATGGGAACGGGGAATGTGAGCAATTTTTCCAATTGACTTATTCGCACACCCTATAAATGGCTTTTCTCTGGGTCTCCACTCATAATTCGTTCACAAATGCATTTTATTAGATAATGTTATTAAGTTTCCATTAGTTTTGTTGACTGATTTGGCTTAACTCAATTTGGCAAGCTTTTTTGTGTTCAAAAAATAAAGAAATTGTATTATAAAATTTTAGCAAATGAAACATGTTTTGTTGTATAATATTCAAGAAATAAATAT